TAGTTTTCTATGTGTACATTTTTATTAAAGCTTGTTATAGTGATCATATTAAGATATATGCCACTGGTCAGGAGAAGCATAGCTCAGTGGCTAAATCTCAGGCCCTGAAGACAGACTTGCTCAAACTATATCTTAGGCAATTTATGTAAGTTCTCTGTACCTCTGTATCTTCATCTCTGCCATAAGGATATAATATTATCCATCTTACAGGGTGTTGTTAGAATTAAATGAATATATACAAATAGTACTTAGGATAGAGCACTCAATGACAGTTGATTATTGTTATCAGTCAGGAAGACAAGCTCATGCTGCAACCACAAATAACTAAAATCCCAGTGGCTTAAAAGAACAAAGATTTATTTTTTGTTCAAGCTGTATGTCCCTCATGGAGTTGCCACTGTCTCAAATGTTGCCAATTGCTGGGGTAGAAAGCAAAATCATTCTGGAGAGTTCTTGCACTAGCAATCAAATGCTTCATGCTGGAAGTGGCACTGTCACTTCAGCTCCAATCTCCTTGGCCAGAATTAGTTACATGGCCACCCTTGACCATCTGGAGGCCAGGAAGTGCCATTTTGCCATGTGCCTGGAAAGCAGAGGGCAAGCATTTTTGGCAAACAACTTTTATGACCTCCACAGTTTCTGTTGTCATTATGCTTCTGCCGTGAAAGCATTTGGTGCTCTCAGTTGGAATGGCCTTAACTTTTTGGCTGCTGGCTGTCACTGTTGGTTAAAGAGAACTGCAGACTTCTGGGAAAGGCTTCAAGAGGCTGGAGTGTGGGGATGTCTTGGAGTACAGGAGGCTGAGCAGAAGGCTCTGTTTAGCTACTGCATGTTAATCTGAGCCACTGAACCGTCTGCAGTATAAATGACTTATAAATGTTCTCCACTAAAAAAATTAAAAAAACTATTCCAATACTTCAAACGTGTCAGCTTGAAGACAATGTTGAAAATACTCTCTATATCCATCCCCCCATTGATGTCTACCTCTTCTATTCACAGTTTTGCATGGTCTCTCATGGCTTAGCAGCTACTGGATGTGGCTTTATTTAGACATCCCAAGAGATGCATTTATTTATTTGTCATGAATTTCCCTAGGGTCATCCAAATGCCAAAAACAAATGACTTACAGTTAGCTCTTGATTATCTTTGCAAATGGTTGGTAATCTTGAATAATATGTATTTGCCTTTGGTTGAGCTTCTTCTCCTCTGTTCTGTGGCCAAGATTCATGGCCCTCACTCTTCAAATCCTCCTGTGGCTCCTTATAATACATAGGAAGGGTCACCAACTTCATTAACCTCTGGTCTATATCCAATCCTCTCTCAGATGGACTGGGCTCCTGCTTGGGGGTGGGAATGATGTTGGATGAGGGCTGGGTTTTGGTTTCCTTTTGATCTATAAATATTTTTATAATTTATTCTGGGCTTTCCCATTGCTGTAACATTGGTGGAGAAAATAGCAGTCCAGTTCAGATTTCAGAAGTCAGGACTGCTTTGAAGAAGGGGAGACCAAGGCAGGCTCTCTTTCTGTAAGAATATTACTGGACAGGAAAAGTTCCACAGCCATCATCACTTCCAGCTTGCATTTGCCATGATGATACAGGCCTCCATGCTTTTCCTTACATTATCCTTTCACCCGTCCACATAAACTTTGAAGCCGGAAATACCTGCATTCACATTATAAACCTACCATTCATTATAGCAGAATGACTTAGGGAAAATGACCTGATTGCTCTTGAGTTTCAATGTCTTCATTTGCAAAGTAAGGCTTAATAACATATAAATGTGAAGGGCTGTTGTGACAATTAGATACTACATGTTAGTTCTTGACATAGTCCCTGCCACATTAAGGTTTCAAATTAATTCTGGTTGTTATTAATTAAGGCCCAGATTAGGTTTTATCTTTTCTAGGAACTCTAACCAAACTATTTCAAATCCTTCTATACAATGGATTGGTTTTCAACTATGTATTAATTAGAGTAGGCTTACTTCCTATAACAAATTAGCCTATGTGTAGTATGTAGGGGTTTATTTCTCCTATCGCAGACCAGGGAAGAATGCTGGAAGCCAAAGCATAACAGTATTAGCATAAAAGACATTGGAAGGCCAATGGACCTTGTTATTCAGCAGGGGTGAAATCAGAAAAAGTTAGCTTCTGCTGTGATTGCGATGGCTCGAGGCAATTTTCTGACCTGATAATCCTTACATTGTTTCCCAAACTTTACCTTCCGATCTGCCTGTATGCATTGCTAAAGGGAATATGTATATTTAAAGTGAATAAAAAGCAGACAGGACCGGACTCTTGGCTTCTCTTTTCAAAAGAGGTTTCCACCTGGCCCCCCAATGCCTTCAAAATTTGTATTTCTTGTATACTATATTCACTGTGTTGTTGGACGTCCTATAAGTCATCCTGAACCCCTTGTTGAGGTCGCGGCCAAAGAATTCCAGGTCCAGATTGGAGGAGTTTGGAAAGAGTTGTCTTTGCTGTGTACAGTCATTTACAAACTCGGGATACTGCTGTACTGCTTCTCTGCTGTCCTCAACATGTAGCCTCCAATGTCACTCCAGTAATTATCCTGGTCATTGTACCCCAGAGCAAGGGGACATGTATGAAAGAGCATGTGTGGGGTGTTGAGTGATTCAGATACTCCAACTCTGTCACAGTCCATTGGAGAGAAATTCATCACAGGGCCACAGGATGCTGCAAGGGATGCTGTGAGATATACTGCAGCTGGCCTTCATTGCCCCATGTTCTGAGGTGATCAGTCACTTGCCTCCGATTCAGACTCTTTTATATATGGTAGGCATGTTAGACATCTTTTCAATTAAAACAGCATCGCCTTGCATTACAGACCTTGTTTTAACTTTCTCCTACAAAGTTATGTTCAATGACAGACAATAGTCATCCTAAAAATGCCTTTCAAATTGCTAGTGCTCCTGAATGAATAGAACTATTCTCTGGCTATCTCATACTTGGTTTCCATTGAACCTGAATACAACTTACCTTTGAGCATAGTGAAATCAGGTTTTAACAGGTTGGTTAGGGATTAGATGTCCTCGACAGTTCATTCTTTGTAACAGTTTAAACTAAGGTAATAACAGAAATTCTGAGAATTTTCCAGTGATATGTGGATTCCATTAGCAATTTCCATTATTGAAGTTATTCATTATAATCATTTACTCGTACCTAATAGATTCCATTAGGTTTTCAGTGTTATCTTTTATAACTACAGGTTTATATATATTATTTTCTTGAAGATAAATAGTATTTATAGAAAATAAGCATAGTGAAAAATCATAATTTTGTAAGGCTTCAGGATGGAATATCTGGTGTTATGCTTTAAAAAAAAAAACCCTCTGAGTTTCATGTAAAAGTCTAATAAAAATACATGTTTGGATTTAAAATAGAAATCATGCAAATAAAAGTAAAAAAAAAACTGTCTCAGGGTAGAGCAAACAGCAATGACTTCCCATCATCCCTGCCCTAAGAAGCCCCTGGGTCTCAGTATCCCATGGTAATTACTACAAGCACGTCTGAGAGAAAGCCACCCTCAAGTTTCTCCCACTGCCAGACAGTCCAGTTTTCCCCCATATGAGTCTGGGTCCCCAGAGTCTTGCCTGGAACTGAAGTTCAGAGCAGGATGAGAGCTTTTGTCTCCTTCCCCATTGGGAAAGCCAGCTGCATACTCAGTTGCCAGCCCTAAGAGACAGATGACTAGTTTTCAATATCTAGTTAACAATTTTTTTTCTAACCTCATTTTCTCTCTGTTAAAATAACTGACATAGTTTCTGTCTCCTGACTGGGTCCCAATTGATATAATACTTAGAAGTTCATTCAATAACACACCTTTTAGTAAAAGTTATACTTAAAAATAAACAAATGAATAAACCAGCTAAGAGCATTTGGTATTTGACGAGACCTTGAGAATGAGTAGATTTTTTGTTGTTGTTAAACTTTGCCACTAATTCTATTAATTTTGGAGCCAGAGCTGGGCCAAGGGAAAATAAGGCTTGCAGGGTAGACTGAGATGTCTGCCCAGACAGACTGAATGTCCTTGAAGATGGGACAGCATCTTATCCTGCAGCACATACAATCTCAGTGTCTAATCGGTGCCTAGTTTGTGGTGCATTTCAAGTGTTTTTACTGGACAACTGTGCTCTCTCTGGGAATAGATGAACATCTTAAATGGTTGCACTCAGCTCACTATTATAAGACAAAAGAAGTTTCCTCTAATAATATATTGGATTTAATGAAAGTTTTCACCCAAGTAAAGTCAGTCTTTGCAAACTCCAAAGAAATAAAGCTGCCTGTGACTCTTTTCTTTATGTTGCAGGATTCTGCTTTTAATGAAAACAAACAAACAAAACCCAAAACAAAACAAACAAACAAAAAAACTCCAAACAAAAACATGATGTCTTTTCTGGATACAAAGAATAATTGATAGAAATGAGGCAAGAGCAAATGAAAAGAGATTTGTTTACAAGAAGGAAGAAAAAAGTTAATGCAAATCACAGTCTTACTTGAGGTTTAGAGAATCTAGTGGAATAATAGAGGATGTTTCTTTTTTATTCAACTACAAGTGTACCTCATTTTATTGCACTCCATTTTCTATCGTCTTTCACAGATATTGCCTTTCTTTTTTCTTTTTCTTTTTAATTGAAAGTCATACCCTCCACCAGCAAAAAGATTACAATTTGCTGAAGGCTCAGATAATGGTTATCATTTTTACCAATTACAGTAACTATTTTTAGAGAAACCAAGATGGCAGCATAGGTAAACACCTAAACTGCTGCCTTGCAAACAATTTCAAAACTACAACTAAAAGACAAAAGGGACATCATCCAGAACCACAGGAAGGCTGGCTGAGTGGTAATTCTACAACTAGAAGGAAAGAGAAAAGCACACTGAGACTCACAGGAGTAAAGTGCAGAGGTATGGAGGTGCACATGAAGAGAGGGTTGGCAACTGAGTATGCAGCTGGCTTTCTCAATGGGGAGGGAGACAAAACCTCCCATCTTGCTCTGAACTCCAGTTCCAGGCAAGACTCTGGGGACCCAGACTCATAAGGGAGAAACTGAACTGTTTGGCAGTGGGAGAAACTTGAAGGCGGCTTTCTCTCAAAGGTGTTTGCAGTGATTCCCTTGGGATACTGAGACCCAGTGGCCTCTTAGGGCAGGGATAATGGGAAGCCATTGGTCTTTGCTCCACCATGAGATCCCGCCCACTCAAGCTGTGCACAGAGGCTCTTACATATGAATGGCCTGGTCCTTTGAATTCTAAACTTACCTAACAAACTGTAGCTGAGTCAGTGAGACCCAGAACATCAAAAAAAAGGCCCAAGGCCCCTTGCATTGCTTCACATGGGCCTCATGTGGGCACTTCCAAAACCCAAACAAAGAAGAGGAATCTGAAGATCTCTCTGTAGATCCTGCTGGGTGGCCTCAGAAAGGCTAAATTAGCACCTCCTTGGAGATCCAAGAGCCAGTGTTCCTTGGGGTCAGAGTAGGACCATCCAGACATACAACTCCTCAGATTCATAAGGGGCACACTCAGGGGACAGACTCAGTGAGCACCAAAGCCCCATTGAAGCAAGTCTTGTCTCATAAGGTTTCTCCAGCACGGACGTTCTCCCATTGTAGACACAGCTGATCCTCTCAGCCAATTGGCCTGGAGGTCAATTCCTCCCAGTGATACCAACAACAATCAAGGCTTAACTACAACAAGACTGTCCACACAAACCACAAAAGGGTGCACCAAGAGTGTCCACCTCAGGTAACTGGGAAGGCTGAGCCACTGGACCCTATAAGACACCTAGTACACAAAGCCACTCTATCAACACAGGGAAGCAGCCAAAATGCAGAGACAAAGAAACAGGTCACAAATGAAAGAAATGGAGGAAAGCAAATGACTGAACATAGAGTTTAAAACCACAGTTATAAGGTTTTTCAAGAATTTTCTAGAAAAGGCTGATAAATTTAAAAAAATATATATTTTATTGATTTTTCACCGAGAGGAAGGGAGAGAGATAGAGAGTTAGAAACGTCGATGAGAGAGAAACATCAACCAGCTGCCTCTTGCACACCCCCCTCCGGGGATGTGCCCTCAACCAAGGTACATGCCCTTGACCGGAATTGAACCCGGGACCTTTCAGTCCGCAGACTGACGCTCTACCACTGAGCCAAACCAGTCCCGGCAAGGCTGATAAATTTAATGAGACCCTTGAGGATATGAAAAAGGACCAACCAGAAATTAAACATACACTGACTGAAATAAAAAAAATAATATAGAGATCCAACAGCAGACTAGAGGATCGCAAGAATCAAGTCAAGGATTTGAAATACAAAGAAGTAAAAAACACCCAAATGAAAAAGCAAAAAGCAAAAAGAATCCAAAAATATGAAGATAGTGTAAGGAGCCTCTAGGACAACTTCAAGTGTACCAACATCAGAGTTATGGGGGTTCCAGAAGAAGAGAGAGAGCAAGATACTGAAAACCTATTTGAAGAAATAATGACAGAAAACTTCCCCCGCATGATGAAAGAAAGATACTTACAACTCCAGGAAGCACAGAGAACCCCAAACAAAAAGAATTGAAAGAGGACCACACAAAGACACATCATTATTAAAATGCCAAGAGCAAAAGACAAAGAGAGAATATTAAAAGCAGCAAGAGAAAATCAGTTAGCTACCTACAAGGGAGCACCCATACAACTGTCAGCTGATTTCTCAACAGAAACCATGCAGGCTAGATGGGATCTGCAAGAAATATTTAAAGTGATGAATAGCAAGAACCTACAATCAAGATTACTCTACCCTGAAAAGTTATCATTCAGAACTGAAGGTCAGATAAAGAGCTTCACAGATAAGAAAAAGCTAAAAGAGTTTATCACCACCAAAGCAGTATTATATGAAATGCTGAAATGTATTCTTTAAGAAGAGGAAGAAGAAGAAAAAAAGGGGTAAAGATAAAAATTATGAACAGATACATATCTATCAACAAGTGAATCTAAAAATCAAGTGAATAAAAAATCTGAGGAACAGAATAAACTGGTGAATATAATAGAATCAGGGGCACAGAAAGGGAGTGGACTGAGAATTCTCAGGGGGAAAAATGTGGGGGTTGTGGGAAGAAACTGGACAAAAATCATACACCTATGGATGAGGACAGTTTGGGGGGGTAAAGGCAGAGGGTGGGGTGGAAACTGGGTGGAGGGGAGCTGTGGGGGAAAAAAAGAGGAACAGTTGTAATAAACTGAACAATAAAGATTTATTAAAAACAATAAACTATATATATATATATATATATATATATATATAATATTAAAAATAATGCTATTTCACGTAGTAGACTATAGTATAGTGTTACCATAACTTTTATATGCACTGGGAAACCTAAAAATTCGGTATTGCGCTTTATTGTGATATTTGCTTTATTGCGGTGGTCTGGAACCAAACCCACAATATTTCTGCGGTATGTCTGTACTCTGATTTGTCTCTCATTTCCTGAAAAATTCCCTGGGAGAGAATTAGATCACACTTCGTAAAACTGAACTGAACAAAAGTAATCTTTTCTTTATGATTCTGAAGCTAATTTGGGATATTGTACACCATAGTAACTATTATTGTGAGTATTATTATATAGTTTCACAAAAACTATTCTGGTTACTAGAACATATCGGGAGTTCAGATTTTAGATAAATAAGAGTTTATTGCATTCAGACTTTGCTCCAAATTTTTGGATAACGAGAACTAGTAAAATGGCCATGTAATATATGATGTAGACTTGGAAGGAGATTTAGGGTCGAGATCTTTCCTTTCCAGACTCAGGCAGGAGAAAAAGCTTGTCAACGTCTAACTTCTAACCTGAATCTCAAGACTCTCTGCTCAGTGCTCTTTCTCTGTATATCAGACTAAATAGCAAGGCCCTGATCTGCTTGCCTCTGATATTGGTTCATTCTACATGAAACGGTTTACCCATCTGCAATGCTAACTTGGAGGAGTCCAAGTTAGCATTGCAGCTTTCTTTAACTCTTCCATTTCCCCCCGCCCCCAATATCAACCTGAAATAAATGAAAAAGTATGTTGGTGCCAGACAGGAGAATGCTTCTATTCAAATCAAGAACTGCAAAGTCATTTGCATTTTGCTTTGCCCATATGCCATGGTAAAAATGTGAAGGTTTTAGAGCTTATTTTGCATCTGTACAGAGACTCTAAATTTAAATCCAATTTTCCTTCACTGAACAAAGTAAGCAATATTTTTAGGTAAAGTTAATTGAATGCCTCTGAGTAGGAAACCAATTAAGAGCCCCTTTAGCCTTGCTGAAGTAGGCATTGGAGGTTCATAAAATATTCCTTGAGTACCCATGCTTGGTACCACCCAGGGATGAGAGGGCCTCTGTGTCAAGCCCTCTAGGTGTTTGTACAAGTCATTCCCCTTCACTGGTGTCCAGGCCAGGTCTGCCTTTCCCGTAATTTTGCAGGGAGGTCAATAAAACTACAGGAGGCTCTGGGATGCTGCCTCGCAGTTCTATTCCTTAGTTTCTAACTTACAGCCACTGCACTCAGTCTTGTCAAATCGAAGAGCAGAGAGCAACTAAAAGTTTGTCCTTGTCTCCCTTAGTTCAAGCAAAGGCAGGGATTGAGGTTTAAATTGATGCTTCTTCTTTTTTTATCACTCCACTTGCAAGCTTAGAGCTCATAATACTCTTCTTCTGAGTGTTATTTTACTTACCAGCCTGCTGATCTGGTAATATGTGAAATGCAAACTCTACTCAAAAGGGAGGTGATGTAAGGATACTGACCTGGCCTAACCTGTCACGTGAGTCAATAAGCTGGTTCTGGTGGGCCCAAGAAAGGTTTTTAGTGCCTTCTTAGTGTTTAGAGGAACTAAGGCAATTTGACATGGAGTTTATTAATTTAATAGTGATTTCACAATTCTTCGGCTTTTTGCCAGTCCATTTATCTCACTTATGTACTTAAGTGATGTTTTTCTCTCAGCCTCTAATTTTCCCCCCAGGTCATCTGGGTTGGTGAGTCCAGGGAAAATGTGGCTGAAATGAAATGTACCCCAACTTTGCCATTGTTAGAGAAATGCCGAGAAAATGATCAATGTGGATAAAAGCAAGAGGTGTTATGTGAAAAGACAAGATTGAGACCCAACAGGGAAAGACTGGGGAAATTGTGTTGCATTAGTTATGGTTCTTTGGTTTCAAGAAGCAGAATATGATGAGTTAATTAGGCCAAATTAAAAATAAATAAATTATATTTTTATGTTTTTTAAAAATTGAATGGCTACTGCAGTATCTTACCAGCATCTGAGAATATTTGCTTCAGAGAGTTGCCCTTACCAGAATCTCACTCCAAAGTCTCCTTTTTTCTAACTTTCTCACGGGTTAGTGTGTGTGTGTGTGTGTGTGTGTGTGTGTGTGTGATGTAATCTTCTGAACACTCTACATCACAACAGGCATCCACCTGGATCCATAAGCCACAGCCAGAGTGCAGTAGACCTCATTTTTTGATACAGCTGCTGAAGGTCCATCTCTAGGCTCAGGGCAAATCCCAAAGAAGCTGGGAAGCCACTCTGAAAAGTGTCTAAGACCCCATCCTTTCTTATTGGCTTGGACATTGAATGTTCACAACATTTTTTTTTCTAAAAGAATTTGCCAGTTAGACAGCTGGTGCTGGAGGAAAGGGCCCAAGGGTCAGTTTCAATGGTAAAACATTGTTATTTGCCAACTTTGTGATCCTGGCTTTACCTTGCCTCTGTTTCCTTATCTGTATAATATCTACCCTACTTGCCTTACAAAGGCATTGTGTAGATGAAAGGAGAAGGTAGATGTGAAGTGTCACTTGTAGCACACCCAGGCAGGACTAAGCCTTATTGTGGTGCCATCTGTAAGGAGTGCTGGTTATCTGGGCTGTCCAATCTGGGCAGCGAGCGAGAAGCGACTGCACTTGGCTGTGGGCTTTATCTCTCTAGACCTATCAAATACTTATCTTGAAAAAGCCTGAAGGAATTCCTTACTTTGGGAGTTTATAAAAACAAACATTTTTTTTATTATTAATTCAGAATGATTACACATCAGCTATGAGCCATACCGAGTTTATTACATAGCATCTTCAGTATGATTATGATGGTAACCACTGACATGAAATATATCTCTTTGGCTTCCTTCTCATTAAGGAGGAGATGAGAATGTCTTCCATTGGTTCCAGTTAGGATTCTTTTCTGCTTCCCATCATCTATCACTGATGTGCTCTACTTGTACTCAACGCCATTTTCGAATATCTTTTTCTCATGGCAGAGCTTCCTGTAACATTTGCAGAGGATTATCCGTGTTTTTACCACCCTGTTTAAAACTGTCTTGGTCTGCCTGAGCTGCTCTAACAAAAAATGCCATATACTGAGTGGCTTTTAAACCACAAACATTTACTTCTCACACTTCTAGGGGCTAGAAGCCCAAGATCTAGTGCCAGCGGATTTGGGTTCTGGTGAGACTGCTTCCTGGTTCACATACAGCTGCTTTTTGCTGATCTTCACATGGTGGAAGGGGTCAGGGGGTCTCTGGGGCTCTAGTTCCATTCATGAGGGCAGAGTCCCCAAGACCTAAGCACCCCTCAAAGGCCTTTCCTCCAAGTACTATCACATTAAGGATTAGGTGTCAATATATGGATTTGGGGTGAGAGACGCAAATATTCAGTCAATTCAAAAAGTGTAGCCTTGTGTTAGAATCCTTACCAACCTTTGTCTGTGTTCCCAGCTGCTTCTGCTCTGAATTGCAGTGAACTCAGGAGGTGCCTGCTGCTGTGATGTGCTGCTTGGAATGGATGCTGCTATTAACTAATTGCTCTGGGTCTGACTTCTCTGCTTGGGTGGTATCCAGTTCTCCATCCTCCTCTACATGGGGCCAACGCTGACTTACTAGTATATGTCTGTGAATGTCTGCTGAGCTGTGCTGTGGTTTTGAAGAGAGGCTGGAGCAGAAATGTATTGGAAACTGTACTGTGTGCCCTTATTTGAAGCTCAGAAGAGAGTCAAATTCTGGCTGCTGTTCAATGTTAAAATTTGGGCAGAGGAGCAGAGGTAGGTCTTATCATACCCAAAGGTGATTCCAACTGGAGTCCATCAGTCTCATTACTGGTTAAATCGAGGGCTAGGACGATGGTTTGGGAGCTGCTAGGAAGATGGTTTGGGAGCTGGGCAGATGCAAGCCTGAGCCCTCTCTGGGGCCTCAGTGTTGTTTCCCAGATGCTGGTACAAGGGTGCACTCTGCCTTTTTGGAGACAGAGGAGTCACTTCCAGATGGAGGCAGAGCATTAAAAAAAACCCAACAAAACAAAAAAAAACCCTCCCCTGAAAACCCTTCTGCTTTTGCGTCTAATCATCCCAGAGCCGGTGGCGTGTGAGCCACAATGCCACCTTTGAGAGAGTGCTATGCAGTGCAGAGCGTCTGGCACCGTGCCCCGCAGAAACGCTTGCGTTCATGAGGAATTACCGGCACTCAGAGGCTGCACTCACCCGGTTGGGCTAAATTTTTACTGGCTTCCCGCTTCACTCCCTTCCAGCAATTGCCTGGGTAAATTCTGTTCCTCACTCTCCCACATCACCTTCCAGCAGCTCAGCATCGCCACTTCCCATGGAGCCTCCTTGCAGGTGCAAACTGAGGGACTGACAAGGCGCGAGGTCACCAGGTCACCAGTGCAGCCAACGATGCAGCCATCTTACCAACACCCATGCCTTGGCCAGGGCGCCGCTGTTAGTTGGAAAAAGATAACACTGAAACTCCAACATTGGGTGCTTTCAAGACAGTTTTAATGCAACTCTACAGCTTTCTCCCAAGTACAGGGTGGGGCAAACGTCGTGAGTACTTGAAATGCGAGTTTATTCTTGTATTATTATTTTGTAATTATTGTATTATTTTCCACAAACAACCAGAAGCCTACTTGCCCCACCCTGTTTTTACCCTTCCTTTTCACATAGCTTGCCTCTTTTAATCTGGAATGCAGAAGGAAGAAAGAAAATAGCAAACCTGGGCACTTTTGAGGGAATGGTTGGGGCATACTTTTTTCCTTTCTTTGTTTTCCAATACTTTCAGATGAGAGGTTATGCTTAACTTTTTGTCTTAATTGGGTGAGGTCTGGCTAATAAAAAAGGAAGAATGTTTTTCCAGGACAAGAATGGGCATGAGAGAGAGAACACAGATAGACTGGGTTTTGCTGTGGTGGCAAAGCCCCTCAGATCTCAGTAGTTTACTACAGCTGTAGATCCATCATGGGTCAGCTGAGATTTCTCCCATGCTGCTTCATCCTGAGGCCTGAGCTGATGAGGCAGTATCTGTCCAGAAACATTAATGATCTTGTTACAAAAAACAAACAGAAAAATGGCAAGCCACTTACTGGCTTTTAATCCTCCTGCATTGGGGTGGGTATCACAGAAAGGGGCTCTAGGATAGTTTGCAAGATTGTAGTAATACAATCTGCCACATCCAAGTATATGAAATATTTAGTATATGATAAAGGTAGATTTCAAATTACTGAAGAAGTGGATAAAATAATCAGTGGACCTGGGAAAATCAGTCAATTATGTGGAAAAATAAATAAAATTAGATTGTTTTCTCATGTCATACACAAAATTAGGATGGATCAGTGCCAAAGAATTAGAAGAAGTATGCATCAATAATTTATAATATTGGGTGTTGAAGGCTTCTTGATGTTTAAAACTGAAGGTGGAAACTTCAAAGCCCAAGATCAGTAGAGTAGACTGACTATATGAGAAGAAAATCCTCCAGTAAATAAAAAATCACAAATATCAAACTAAATAAAGGTTACAACAAACAGGGTAAAAGTATTTGCAATTTAAATAGCCAAGAGTCAATATTACCACTGATAGAGGAGCTTTCATTTATCAGAAGGACGAAGAATTGTGCTCCAGTTGGCTGTTCTACTGTAGATGCGCTTATTATGAGGGGGATGCAACCCAGAACTGCCCTCTCTTTCCTTATTATTCCAGACTCACGGGTCTTTCCCAAGTGTCAAAGAACTAGTAATCGAAGCCAAGGAGATGAAGAAAGGGACACCCGAGGCATCCAATCCTCTTTTCCACAAAATATTTTAACGCAGCCCCCTGGAAACGTTTGTCTCCACCTCTGACCCAGCTGAGGATGTCTAAGTAAAAAGAAAGGGCAAACCTTTACCAGAACCTTCCTTGTTTTCCTCTCCTCCTTGACCAAGTGACTCTCACCATAGAAGAGTCGCAGATCTTCTCTATGTCTGGGAGAATGGGGTGGATGAGGGAGAAGGGTAATTACGGCCCCAGAATGCTCATATTCCCAACTTTCCTCCTTCTGCCACAGGAGACTTGTCTTTCTCCCAATACATAAATTATGCGTAAATGATCCCTGAACAACTCTTGTCCACTATCTTATGGAGAATTCTTAAGAGCATTCATATTCCAGACTGGGAGCTTCCCAAGGATATGATTTCCTCCATTCATATGTTAGTAGATTTGCTATCCATCTCTCCTGGGAAGAAGAAAGTCATAAGCAAAGTGGTGTCCTGTACTAATATTAGCATCATCTGGCAGATTGCAAATGCTTTTCAGCCTCAAAGGAGGACAAAGGCCTCAGGCAGAAATGCAGCCAGATGCTACCTTTCCAGTGAAATGCCTGGACTCCTTAGCAGTACTCTAAATTTCTCCACAGTGGCCTCAATAATTTTCCTTTTTCTTCTCCTAAATCCTTCTCTACATGACCACCCAACCAACATAAATTCTATATTTTAATTTCCATTTAGCTAACACACCTTCTATGTTCTGCAATTTTCTGGTTAACTATTTATACACCTATTTAGTGTTAATCCTCTTGTGTGATGAACTTTAGCTGGTCTGGCTGTTGATATCTCTGCTGAACTATACAAATCTTGAAGACATGGGGGGAGCTTTGCTCCCTGTCACCTTCAGTGTCTAGTACAGTGCCTAGCATGTAGTAGGTCAATAAATAATCGCTACATGAATTTGTCGTTAAAAGTTTCCTCACCATGAAAGTAAGCAGTGCCTTGTTGAGAGCTGGGCTGTGACATCGGGGGACTAGCAATTCCTGGGCAACCTCTTTATCTTTTTTAAAAATATATTTTATTGATTTTTTACAGAGAGGGAGAGGGATAGAGAGTTAGAAACATCGATGAGAGAGAAACATTGATCAGCTGCCTCTTGCACATCTCCTACTGGGGATGTGCCTGCAACCAAGGTACATGCCATTGACTGGAATCTTGCCTGGGACCCTTCAGTCCACAGGCCGGTGCTCTATCCACTGAGCCAGACCAGTTAGGGCCTGGGAACCCTCTTCTAAGGTTTCTATTTGGCCTTCCTGCCAGCCTGGATATATCAACAGTGGCTATAGCAGGAAAGGACATTTCAAGAACCCACATGCTCTTAAATGCAGGACAGCCATGGGTTGCTGTGTGAGAGTTCAATGTCCTTAGAGTCATTGGAGCCCCACTCATATTTAGCACAGGAGAGCCTTCAGTGTGCGAGTAACCAGGTTTGTAAGTTAGCCTCTCTGTGCCTCAGTCATCTCATCTACAAAACAGGGATATTAATCTTACACCTAGAGTAGTTAGGAGAATTAAATGAGATAATAGAGGTAAAGCACTTAGTACCTGCCTCACAGAAAGCCCTGTGTACTTGTTAGCCATTAGTGGTTTTATGTAACTCACTAGCATGTCCTATAGCATCTTCAGGGCTGTGCTGTCACAGTCCATTACCAGAAAACACATCACCTTACTAATGATGATTCCTAAACACACCCAAAATCCAAAACATGAAGTTGAGTAGGTTTTGCTTTTTGAATCAAATCTCCCTTCAACCACGCACAATCGAGGTGGGGGCCATTCTTTTGGCTTTCTTCTCTCTTTGTGGTTAAGGTCCTATACTCCCTTCCCAGTCCAGATTGCAGCTTGCTGACCCCTTAAGTAACATTCATATGGTCAGGGCCAACAGACCACTATTTCAGGCTCCAGCCTGCATAGATGAGATTGGCTTTCCACAGACTTCTGTAGAAGCAAGTAAAAGAAATGTTAGAATCTAATCACATCTCACCTCCTCCTCCATTGCCTCCAACAGCATATTCTCCTCCCAGCACTAAGTCAACACCCAGGAATACTCTGCTTAAAACTCTCCAGAGTCTCCAAGTTGCATCTAGATTTAAATCCAACCTTTGCCTTGGTTTGCAAAGTCTTGTGTGAGCTGACTCTAACTCTCTCTGATCCATGACACCCTTTGCGTACTCTCTGGGCTTCAGCCACCCAGCCCTTCATTCTATCGCTTCAAATGCAAGACACACGTTCTTGCTTTCAGGAGATGTCTTTCCTCTCCGAAGTTCCCTCTGCCTAGGATGCTCTCCTCCTGCACCCTCACGTATCTGGCTCCATTCTTACATTCCATGCTCAGAAGCCTTCCCTGACCATGTTGTTTAGCCATCCCTGCCTTCCCCCATTTCTCTTGAACCCTTGTGATGTTTTTCATTTTTCATAGCAGTTACTGCTATTCATATTGCTTTTTTTTTCCTGTGGTTTATTGTCTTTCTCTTCCCACTAGAGCAAAGATCCCATGATAATAGGGACTGGTGTATCCCCATGTTCAACATTTCCAGTTCCTAGGACACAATAGGTATTCAATAGATATTTAAAAAACAGATGAAATCCTTTGAGGATGGTATCTATTTATCAAACCTCTCTTTTGCTATCCACAATTTTGATGGCTTATTGTGCTACAAAACTTCCTCCTTGGCAGGTAAGAAAGGGCAGGGGATATGGCAGAAAATGTATCTTTTGCACAGCTAGAAGCTGGTGTTTCTGCTTACTGTTTTATCGCATCTGCCTCTAGAAAGATGTTTTATAGGGCAAGAGGCTGTGTCTCTAACAAGAATGCAAGTCCTATTTCAGAGATGCCTGAGGTACAAAGATGCTTGGTTACTTTTCAAGGGTGTCATGTTTTCTTCTGGCTCAAGCTCATACCCAGAAACCTGGATAAAACTCTACACTGGACAAACTGGGTAGTTGGCAAAACTTCCCAACTTGTAAGTGAGATGACTGCAACACATAAAAAGAAAACTGTTTGTTTTTTTTTTAATTAAAACTTTAAGTGATGAATTTAAATAGGCTAAAATTCCACAATCTACATCAGCCCCCCAGTATGCTTTATACAAGGAGAAAAATATATCGATAGAGTATGGATTCAAAAAGTATGGATTTGAGTCACAGTTTGAGCACCAAACAAACTGGGTGAATAGGGAAATTCATTTTATTTCTCTAGTGCCTTGGTGTGGCAGCCATGGAAGCCTGCTCAGATCAGTGCCAGCTGCGGGCATAACTGACAGATACCAGAGCTCTCCTCCATCTCCGCAGGAGCTGCCCTCTGGATCCATCTAGCCAAATTCCCAGGGGTTCTTCCAACCAGTGGCCTGGCACGGTAAGAGAGCCATTCTGGATGCGTAAGAGAGTTCTTCAGGAGGCAACTTTGGCTTGAGAACACCCCCCTCCCCAAACCTGGCTGTGTCTTTCTTGGAACTGCGATGCAGCCCTAGACTTTTCTGACTTGTCCCCCTATTTCCCCCTCCTCATCCTCACCGGGCTCAGACCTGCTTTGGGTCTGATGGTTCTCTCTGCCAACTCCTCTTCTTTCCCTCAATATATCAATGGCATGACTAACCTGTCTTGGGTTCTACTACTTGGTGGACTCAAACAACACACTTGTTTTACTCATTTGTGAAACATGGACCACTATCTAGGAGAGGGTTGTTCAACTCTTTGATTTACTCCCCTTTGAAGGGAATGGGTAGAATTTATCCTCGAATCACTGTATAGTTGTTAGGATTAGAAAATGAGGTGTGCAAAATTGCTAAGCTTGGCATCTGGCATACAGCTGGTACTCAATAAGGGAGAATGAAACTGAATAAATGTCTTCTAGTTTCAGGCATGTTCCTATATGAGGAAAACCTTCTCTGCCTTGAACTTCTGTGTTACTCCCAAGACAGACCAAACAGGTGTATGTAGGTTGCCAGCAAGTCCGAGGCACTCTATTTTTTCCTTTCAAATTATTTGATATCCTAGAGAAAAATACCAGGACTTTGTGGGCCCTTATATTGTACTTACTTTATGGCTTGGCATTGATTTTTTAATAAGTAACTTTATGTGGAGATCAGCATGGTATCCTTCTCAATGCTTTGGGCCTTCATAGGTCCTAAATGGTCTCTGTGTCTCCTCCTCCCCTGAGGGCCCCTTGGCTACTCTGGTAAGCTGCACCGAATCTTCTGCTGGGGTGACCATCTGTTCCC